TGATCCTTTGTAACATCACACACACTGTTGTATTTGGTTTTAATGTTAAGGTTTTAAACTGAAAGTATTGGGATGAAATGTATAAAGTCAGGTCCTTCATACTTCCCCTCCTTCAGCCTCTGACTTATTTTCCCCTTTTCCCCTTTGGGTAGAAAAATCTATTATTCATGCTTTTTCTTCACCACTTCAACAAGGTTTTGAAGTGGGGAAGTGAAGATAATACTAAAATGAGTGTACTCCATTGCTGGATGAACATTTTAGTCCTAGAGAACACCAAGCAGGGATCCATACAGGGGTCAAATAAGTGTCAATAATGGGCTTCAGTGTATGTTTCTTTAAGGCAGGACCATATTCACATGGACTGCAGCTATGGAGCAGGTTAACATGTGTTTTGCGGGAAGTATTCCAAGTACTGGAATGAGGTTTTGTAAAGCATTGTCTTACTTATAATAAGGAATGGTGTCCTCTGGAGATTAACCGAATAGCAGCAGTCAAGCAAAAGAGAGATGTTTAAAATCATGTGGTAATAAGGGTTCATTCATTCAACCTTTATTTGACTGAGAAATACATTGGGGTAGTATATACAATACAAAAGCCAATTTCAAACTACAAAATAAATAAAGATGTAAATGGCTGTAAGGATAAAAGCTCTAAATTGTTCTGATTGTTATTCCATGTTGCAGGCGCACAATGAGAAAAGTTGAGTCAAGCCTAATGTCATTTGATTAAAGTCTGACTCAAAGTATCCAGCTCTGCCGGGCTGTCAGAAGGATCATAACCTGGCAAGTCACATGGATTGTGTTATGTGTTTAGTGGAATTTGTTAAAACAAAGCATATAACAGTGATGACTTGCTTAAAATACATTGAGTTCTCCGTCACAGACCTTGCTGATAAGTTAAGGACTCATTTGTGCAGTGTACATTTTTGAACACAGTAGAGGTCAGTGTAGGCCCCCAGAATGTCACAACGTGTTAATAAGGTTTTTAATAATTTATCTTTTAGTATGGGTCTTTGTTTATAACATTTATAAATGAATTATTTTATCTCGTAAAATTAGATGATGGGTTGAATTAGTAGGGTCACATGGATATGGGCAGCACTCATAATATAATATAAACTAGAGGGCTGCTATATTTCTTTGTTGACTGCAACATTTTTGTAGCTGGATAATAAGGATCATATGTTTATGACCATTGTCATTGTATCAAGATTTTGTTCAACCCATTTTTGGGATCTCGTGTGTCAGACAAAGGCAACGCGGCCAAACTCAGCCTCTCAGTGACTTTTGTTGTAAACTAAAGCTGCTAAATTAGTATACCTCAAATATTTGCACAACTATTTCAGAGTGGTATTTATGACAGGTAGAAAACCATACTGTAACTCCCTTATTTAAATATTAAATGGTTTTAAGTTGCTTTTGATGTTCATAATTGTGCTTCTACAGCCAGACACAGTGGGTATCATTGGAATATATTTTGAACCACCTTTGGAATAGTTAGCAGGAGTGTAAACTCATAATCGTTTTCAGTTAAACTGATCTGCTGTTCTATTTTGCATTTAATTTGTGGAAAATTGATGACTTCATACTGTCAGAGACCTGGAAGTTGTCTCTCAAATCCCATTGCACTACAAGGCTGTCCCAGACTTCAATATATTGTACTTTTAATATCTCCCGATCAGTTTTGTGTTTCCTAAAAAGATGACTGAATGTCTGGTCAAGGCTAATCCTCCCTGCCTTCAGTCAGTTGAGCCTGTGCTCTGTCTTCTTGTGCGGATGTTATGGTAGTCTCCTTCCCCACAGCTGGGAACTGCAGGAGGTACAAGCACTCACAACTCCTCCCGGTGTAGTTCATCAGGGGCCACTATACAGTCTATGGGGGCCGGACAGTAGTTGGTCTGGAAGTTCTCTTAAAGCTTGAGTGGTTTATTTTGCCCATGAGACCCCTTTAATTTAAAACAAGTTTTGAAATAATGCACATTTTGGATATGCAGTAAAAATAAAAAAAGTTCAGGCAAGAATGAGTCATGTTTATGATTTTGAATATTATCAAACTACTCAACTACTCAAGTTTTATTCCATTTCTCCATTTTCAGTATTTTGCTGATTCATTTGAAATAGGTGTGATTACTGCGCTCTGCTAAATCTGTAAACAACACAAAAACAAAACACTTGAACTTCTTTTTTGCATTTAGAGTCAGTGTTTATGCCAGACAAACAGTAGATAATAGGATGCAAATATCTGTATATCTTGAAGTTGCTTTATCACCCTCTCACTTCTCCTTCTGCTTGGGTCTTTTCTGTCTATGCATATATAGACTCTGCTCAATTTTTGACAAATAATACTTGAGAGGAACCTTTCTTTCAGTCTGCCCTTAAATTAAATTAAGTATTGGATTTGGCTTACACAGCCAGACGATTAGGTTGTACTGTCATATTTGCTGCTGGTTCATTATACAGCAAGTGGCAAGATGATAACAGCTAGTTTTTTCATATTGCACATCAGATGTACTGCCTTGGTAGACCCAGTCATAGTTCATAATAAGGTTCTCTTCCATGTTCACATATAGACAAACAGTTTGACTTGACCCTTACAGCTATTTATTCTTTGCAGACTTTTCCCCCCTCAGAGATTAGTAGTGTGACAATCAATCAAGAGCAGCAATCCTGTTCACTCACTTCTACTAATGGAATATTGACAAATTATGACGTTTGAAATGAGTGATGGATACCCCAAAAGGTACTAAATCTATAGTCCCACTTGTTAACTGTCAGGCATATTCAGTCAAACTCTTCAAGTTAAACATTTGTCACATGGGGGAATTTATCCCATTGACATTGTGATTATTGTGGGTTAGATCTGATTGGATTAGAGCTGCACAAATAATTAATGCTTTTTTAAGTCTTTCCTGTCACAAAGTGTATAACATTGTACCCAACTTGAAACTATCTCATAACCACTAAATCTGTCTGTCTGCTGCTTGGTGCTGAGCAGCTAGAATGAAGTGGGTTAGAGAGTTTCTTTTTTTATTTATTTTTTGTGCTGAAAACAGCTGCCGGTAACAGGGGTTAATGAGAGCAGTGAGAGTGAGCCCTTCAGTACATTTACAGACTGTGAGTGGAGTTTTAAAGCCTACACATACAGCTAAATGGCTCTCAGTTTGACTGACATAATGTGTAATGCTGCCTAATACCTGTTTTAATGGTGCGTTCTCATCACTGCTCACCACTAAAATTGTAATGTACATTCAAAACAACCACCGAGTGACAAAACTGAATGTTACCAGTCTGAAATAAGGCCATTATTTTTCAGCAGAGCTCAGTCCAGATTAGCCTGGTTAGCTTAGCTTTAGTGTCCTCTGGCATTCCAACGCTCTGTTTCTTTTTCTCATACTAAATTCCAACCCCCATTTCCTCCTCTCTTTATTGTCGATGACTAGGGTTTTAATGATTACATCTGGCGGTGCCACAAATTAATTCCTGCCTCTCTGGCAAAAAGCTGTTCCCCACCTGATTATGCAAAGCAGCCCTACATTTTCTCCCTTTGAAGTGGAGGAAAAGCTGCTTAGAGATTCTCCCCTTGAGGAAACACTTCAATATGGGGAACATCAACAAACCAGGGTTCACACAGAGGTCAGCAACATGGTTAACCTCAATGAAGCCTTACTTCATCTCCACATCTCACTTCTGATATGTTGTGGTGGTGTAATGACTCTCATATCAGGGACTGAAGCTACTTTTCAGGCAAAAAGAGCCATACGAATGCATCCAGTAATGTTTGTGTGTATGGCCACCCAGATTAGTTGGCAGCATGGTTCGTGTAGCTCTCCTATTTCAGCAATCACAGCCTTGACAGCGCCCATAGACTCTTTCAGAAACACCAGTGGGATGTATTTGGGTGGAAAAAATACACATTTTCACACATAACTACCTCTGCAACTGCACATTTTGTCAGTCTGTAATGTACAAAGAGGTACAAATATATATATTGTTGTTCATTATCGTCTATAGTTACTTTCAAAACATGTTTTGGCTTCTTGTCTGAGTGATCACACCCTGATGAAAAGCCCAAACTCTGCAACAAAATAATCAAAAATAATCAAGCGTGACATGAGAACAGTCCACGCAGGTAATGAGCCGATGTAAGAGATGAAACTGCAGACTCAATCACACTAAAGGGAGGTTTGGTGACAGATGGAAGATTACTTGAAGTATGTGTTAATTCAGAGTAGGTCAATGCAAAGTTAGTAAGACAAACTGAGTCATTTCAGTCTTCCTTATTATTAAACAAATCGCTCAGACAGGAAACATTTTGCCTCCTGTTGAGTGTCTAATGTCCATATGTTGACATTTGCAATAGCGTTATGGTATTTAGCATTCAAAAACAAACAGTCCAATAAACAGATGAGTCACAAGTGTTCAGATAGAAACATTAAAAAGATTCAGTGATGAGTCAATACTAGAGTTCATCAAAATGTAACGACTGCAGCCAGATTCGATGACTTAAAGGTAGGGTAGGTAATTCACTTCAGAAACACTTTTTGTTATATTCCATGGAATGCTCTTAACATCCCGAAAGCAATGAATAAATTAAATGCTTTGACAATAAATATATACAAATATTTCATCTGTGGAAGCCGTGGCGCTGTAAAAAGCAAGTCCAATTATCTGCCTCGGCCCGTGGCAGATAACTGGATGGCCTACCTGCCTGTCAGCCTTCCATCTCGTGCACAAACTTATCTCGTGCCCTCATTGGTCATGTGCGCGTTCGTGTGTGTTGGAGGAGGGGCTCTGTAAGGAAGTCAGAAGGAGGGGGCAGATTTTTTTCGGTTGTGTACTTTCAAAGCTGGTTTCTCCATTCTTACCTACCCTACCTTTAAGGCTGGAAACTCTGAATGTGAGATTCTGTGGTGATCCTTCTCTAAGTGCAGTCAAAGAGTACTAAGAAAACACAACCGATACCACACACTTTCTCCAAACACAATACGCTGAGAATTAATTTTTAATATTACATTGTAAATTATTGCAGTCTTACAGTATTATCGATTTCATTATACAATGTGGACGCAGTTATTGATGTAAAGCAATTAACAATATGTTCAGACAATATAATTTAATCGTACATGTGCAGTGTCAGTGGTTCCGATAAACAATAAATCATAACAATAACAAATAATAAATAAAAAGGGTGTGGGTAGCCAAAAGGAACAAATAGTTTGGCTTTAAGGGGAAGAAGGAGTTGTAAACCAAATGTTGATATATGAAATGTGAAAGGGTACGTTTGTCAGCGTGTGTGACCTAGTGGAGGGTTTCATGAGGTACTTTGCATTTAAAAACCTAGAGTTAACAAAAGGTGTACAGAGGAAATGTGTATGTTTGGAAATTCGTTCCACAACCTACTTTATTTCCTTCTTCTAATCCGAGATAAAAACATGGGTCCCCAGGTCCTGCCGGGCTGAGGAACCACTAAAATGCCGAGTCTGCGGGGATTAGAGGACGAGGAGCCATTCAGTGGCCGCAGGGACGGCTTCTGAGGTGTGTCAAGATCAGGGTGAGCATGACTAAATGTAAAGTATTTTGATAAAGGAACAGCGATCTCCTCCCACAGGTCTTCAGGTTCAGCCTCAGGACAGTCATTCAGCACTGAGTCGACCACAGCATAGTTCTCAGAGCTGGACAGAGTGCAGGTGGAATAGACCACAACCCCCCCCGGACGCAGCGCTGTCAGCGCAGACCTGCACAGAGTAGACAAACATTGCACTTCATGAGAAGGGGCTTCAAAAGAGGAACTCTACCGATTTCACACATCAAAGTCGGTTTGCAGGTCTTAGGGAGTACCACTGCATATGTGAACAAAGTTGTCTAAAGCCTTTTGTGGCTCGAGAGGGAGCTGTGAGAAGTCTGATGAATTGCCTCAAGTGATGGGTGTGAGGACGGCAAGGTGGAAAATGAAAGAAAAAAAATGGTTGTGTGGAGTTAGTAAGAATTGAGACGTCTGTAGCTGCTCAGCTCAGCTCAGCTAAAGGCTTGCTGCTCGAGGCTACATTAACCACAACTTGCATAACATACAGATTTATGAATAAACTGTTGAATTGCATTGTGGGTAAGGTAGACAAAAGGTATTGCAAAGGAATAAGGATGTGTGGAACAAAAACATTACCTACAGTTCTGTACCATTTTATGCTTGGTTATAATTTCACACAATTATACAAAGCTGCAATCGAATTGTCAGAGCCAACTATATTATATTAGTCCTTTTGGGTAATCATACGGTGCCATACAGCCATCATTATATAAATTAACAGATAACTGAAATACCCTACTAACAACAGCAACACCACATATTACTAAAGTGCTTTTATCATTTTCAGACAAACGGTTAAATCACATTGCCTGAGTAATGACATGTAGGAAGTTAGGACAGAACAACAAGGTTAACACATTTCAGATATCTCTTATATTCGGTATTGGACTCACCTCAGCAGTTGAGCCTGGAGAGCAGGCAGCCTGGCTCTTTCCTTCAGTCTCTGTTCCCCCTGCTGGCTGCTGCTGGAATACAACCAGCTCCTGTCATTAGAACATGGAGCATCCACTAAAACCTGCAACACAGAGAGCACGAAATGTGAGTAGTTCAGAGTCTGAGAGTTCAAGAGTTTCAGTGCAGCATGAGACGAAAGGATCAAAGAAGAAAAGTGAGAGGGAAGGAGTAAGAACATGTAATTAGTTAATAAGGGTAAAAGCAGACATAAATACAAATGCTGGAGGTCTGTAAAATAACATGCTCTTTTTCCCCAAACACAAACTCTAAACCTAAAACTTGAGAATCTCCCCACAGATCTATCCTCTCTGCCACAAACAGCCTGAATCTGTACAGCCTGTTTGTACTCTAAATCCTTTCAGCCTTTGTTCACACCGTTTCCTACACTACCTTTCAGTCTGTGCTTTTCTGTTTTCAATATTTTGGCCCATTATCAGTCACAATGAGTGCTTTGAAAGCTCCCGACCATTTTGTCTGCCTTTTCTTGGCTCCTGTTTTGAATAAATGGTTTTCGTCTCTTCCGCTGGGCTTATTACCTTCAGTTCAAAGGCTTGCTGTTTTCATTCATTTCTAACCATGGCCTTGAAAAAACTCAATTTGAAGAACACCGAAGCCAAATGTAGTCACACGCTGAAATAACCATGACTCCCCCTCACCTTGTCATACTCTCCTGTTTCACTTTGCCCAAAAGAGCATCCGTCCTGTGCGGATACAGTCACTCTGCTGGTTAGTGACGGAGGCAGGAACGACTCGAGGGTTTTGGAAAGCCAGTCCCGTCTGTGGGGGTCCGGTTCATTACAGCAGAGCAGTGCTGGAACACAAAACAGGGCCGCATTAACTGTTACTAGTGTTCAATGCAGTAAATGCTGTTCACAGCTGAAAAAAATATGATTTAACTGCAGAGACTACATGCAAAGTACATTATAACTTTATATTTAAGAATAAAACTACACTGATTTCAACATGATGTTTTTTGTGAAAAGCTCTTGTTACAAAAACACCTCGATGTTATATTTATGTCAATAACACAGTAACTCATGATTTATTGTCATTTCAATCGAATTAGGTGTTATTAAAAGCATTATAGATACCAATAATTAATATCTTAATACAACACGGTTATAACTTTATGCATAGACATAGATCATTTGATATGAAGTCAAATTATATAAGCTTTATTTTTTCTTCTACTGCAGTGAGGGTAAAAATTGAACTAAACTGATTTCAACATGATGTTTTTCATGAAAAGCTCTTGTTGCAAAACACCTCGATCTTATATTCATGTCAATATTACCAACACAGTAACTCATGATTTATTGTAATTTCAATCTTAATTAAGTATAATTAATCATATTCATTAACTGATAGTTCATGAATAAAAGCATTATAGATACCAATATTTAATAAAACTGTTATAACTATGCATAAAACTCAGCAGTGTTTAAATTATATAAGCTTTATTTGTCTTCTACTGCCTTGTGGGTTAAAGTGAACCAAATCAACTATTTTGTACTACTTGCATGTCTGAAAAAGTACTTGTTTTACCTGGGGTGGCACACTGCATTATGGCTAAGGCTTTGCCCCCAGGTGCCGAGCAGAGATCCAAAACCTTCTCCCCATCTGTGACGTTCAGAGCCAGCACTGGCAGCAGGGAGGCAGCATTCAGGAGGTAGTACTGCTTCAGCTGGCCGGGCCTGTGAGCCTGAGAGGGGAAGCGCAGTGGATACGGGTGGATGTAACACTGTAATGTAGAACGGGGTAAACTCAGTGAAGGCTCTGATTTAAGGTCTTGAGGGAGCACATGAGAGCTGCTTTCAGGTTGGAGAGGAAAGTCATTAGGAGGGAACTTTGAAATGTAGTCAGGTGGAAATGGAGAGTCTTTTCCTGCTTGGTGTTTAGAATTGGAGATTGTTGAGAAGTCATTACAAAGGAGCGGGGAGACACTGTTCTGAGGCAGCAATGTAGAAAAGCCCTGAGACTGGAGGATCTGTGTGATGCCCGTCACAGCGCTGAAGCGGTTCAGCATGACGCCATACTGCCAAGAGTAAGGGTCCAGGAGCACTGCTCTGTAGGAAACAAGCAATCCAGATTAAGGAAGGGTACTAGTGTGGTCCATGTACATGCTGTAATATATTTTAGGAGAACATTTACCTTGCAGATGGCCACAGGTCTCCGAGTTCCTGACTGTACTGCTGGTCAAAGTTGTCCAGGACTGGCTGGCATGAAGGTCTCTCTTTTCTGCGCCTTTTTGTAACCTGTTACAAAGACACTGTGGTGAATAAATGAATCCGACAGAGGCATGAAATAAGAAAGCATCTAAGCACTGAGCGCTTAGGTTAGTTTCATCTGGATACTATCTCAGTGAAATCTCCTATTTATGTAAATGGAAAAATAACAGCCGTTGTTTTACACTAGCTACCCCTGGTGGATATTAAAGGGTAAAAGCTGTGAAGCGTAAACACTGTACAGTGTTGGGGTGTCAAGTGTAACTGTGTGGCAATAGCAAATGATATACAGGGGTCACGGGTCAGGTCAGGGAGGTGGGCCCTTAGCATAAGTTTGTTTAGGGCCAAAAGGAGGGTCAAGGCCGGCTATAAGATTGCAAATAGACACATTTAAGAAAATAATAACAATAAGCTGCAAATCCAAAATAAATACAATACAAACACAGCGAATATATTTTGAACTTCTCGTACTACTCCATCTAATGGGCAAATAAATAAATTGCCTCCCCCCTTATGAAACACATTTGACCACCAAACTCTCATGAACTACAGGGGTTTTATCAAGGTACAATTCAAACCAAAACTTTAGCTAAGCTGACAGAGTAAAAATGGAGCATGTGTAAAGTAGCTTAGATGTCAAATGTGTTATTTAAACACAGTGGGCTGTGACAGGTGGCGGAAAATCTAAGACACTCAAGAAGACAATATATTTTTCGAGTAATGTTGCCCGAGCTATCCATCCAAAAGCATAGCATCTTTTTGTGTTTGTTCACCTGGTTTTTGTTTGCTCCTCTTCGCTCTCTGAGCTGTGGATCAGCGTCAGGACCTGTGTAACAGCACACAGCTGTCGGCGCTATCCTCCGAGGTTTCAGGCATATTGTCAGTAAAAAACAATGTCTTGAGAGCATATAATTATACATTCGGTTAATTGTTTTAATTTCTAACTGACATGTCGAAATATATTCATTATAACTTGACTTTCTTTCATAAACTCAAACATCGTGCGTTGCTCAAATATGTCCTCCCTCAACTCTGACTCTGTCTTTAGTTCCGCCTTGCAGACTACTGATTTTTCTCTTCTCGCTTTTTTTTTAAGTACAATTTTGAGAGACTTGTACTTTAATGAGGATTTTTGCTAAATTGTACTTCTACCACACTACAATTCAGAGCTAAAACGTGTACTTTTACTCCACTACATTTATTTAATATATTTACTTACTTTGCACATGTTGATTTATTATTTAATAATGCGAAATATAATCAACACTTAAAGGTGGGGTAGGTAAGTTTGAGAAACCGGCTCGAGATACACTTTTTGTTATATTCCATGGAATGCTCTTAACATCCGGATAGCAATGAATATCTTAAGTGCTTTGACAAAAAATCCATAAAAAAACGTCATCTGTGGAAGCCGTAATACTGTAAAAAGTACGACCAATCATTTTAGCCGGCCCGGCTAAAATAACTGGATGGCCTACCTGCCTGTCAGTCTTCCATCTGTGCACAAACTTATCTCGTGCCCTCATTGGTCATGTGCGCGTTCGTGTGTGTTGGAGGAGGGGCTCTGTGAGGAAGTGGCAGATTTTCTCCGGTTGTGTATTTTCAAATTCTAGCGATCTCGAGCCGGTTTCTCAAATACCTACTGTACCCCACCTTTAACAGTAAGATTACAGGGGGTAACATTCACAAGCTACCCTGCAGGCAGCATACAAGTAATTCAACGTATTAAAATGACTGCACCTTTATCAACTTTGATAACACTTTAATGCATCAATAATTATGATCAAAACATATGTATTATTCTGAACTGGGGCAATATGCATAATGGGTACCGTTGCTGTTGGTACTTTAAGTATGTTTCGATGCCAATACTTTTTTATTTTACTTGAGTAACATATTAAATGTAGGACTTTTACTTGTAACGGAGTATTCCTCCACACTGCACTGGTACCTCTAATTTGACTTAAAGTGGACCTATCATGGTATATTTAAATGATATATTGTAGGGCCATACCTATATAAGGTATATTTATATGTTTCTATTTTCAAAATACCAAACAGATCATGCATTTTAGCCATGCCTCATTTCGCTCAATTTGCACTATTTTTTAGCTATGCTCTGCAAGGGCAGATTCAGCGCTTTCGAACGGCAATGGCCGTGGCTGTCTCCTCCTGATTGGTGGAGTTGGCCCAATAGCCGTAGCGCCACTGTCCTGACGTCAGGACAGTGTTCAAATCTGGATCAGTTTTTATCAGATCCGTTGCAGCCCCTTTTTTAGAGATTTGGGTATGGAGGAAAATAGAGAGGGTTGTGTATTCTGACACTTGGTGAGTTCCCTGGAACACCGGGGACACATATTCATGTATAAAAGACGTACAAAAGTGCATTTTGCATGATAGGTCCCCTTTAAGTACAAGATCGGAGTGCTTCTCCCACCTCTGAGTATGATTAGAGAGTACTTACATTCATTCACTTTAACAGGTGATCGCTTAAAACATAAGCAATGAAGCTGTTTGTGCTAGAAATATTTCAAATACACGTGTGCTCCCCCTGCACAGGATGTTCAAAATGTTTGACCGGGAAACCAACGTCTGATTTGAATGTTTCCCATAGGCCTAACGTCTGCTCTTCTCTAGACATGATTTAGGTTTGTCATGCTGGAAATACTGGATTCAAACAATTGCTAAGTCTCTGGCAAACACTTTATAATTATTCTGGACATAGCAGACAATACTGGCAACCTGAACCCAGTGCTGGATAACAGGTGACAGCAATTGAGTAAGTCTATGGTCACAGTAAGGGCTTGTTAATATTAAGGTTAACTATATTTTTGATAATCATGTTTGTTCTACTTCAGGGTAACAAAGACAAACCAGAGGTGATCCTAAAACTTGACCCATGTAGTAGGCTAAATTTACCAGGACTGGAGGGAAATGCTGCATCACAGCTGCAAAACTTAAGGTTTGAATTATTTTAGAGAGTTTGTGTAACTGTGAGCCTCTCCTTTATATTATATTAGGAGAAAAACAGAGCCACTTGGAAAACAAGAACCTTAAAAACATACACACTACCATTTACAAATTCACAAACACAAATTATGAATTACAAATGTTACTTCAGGTGTTGGTTGAATGTTTAACACAAACATTTTTTATTAAATATACAATATCATGGCAAAACCCATCATTTACAATGATTTTGCTTTGCCAGAGTTTCTTACATCAGTGAGTTCACAACCTTAAGAAGCACCAATGAACAAGAATAGGCAACGCGATAAGCTGACATTATCGTACCGTTCAAGGGCAACTCAAGCTGCTAATTGTTATTAACATTATGATGTATCCATCCCTTTGCAGTAAATGCTTAACTGCTTTACATTGCAAACAGAATAAGGAATGCAACCATCAGACAGAAGAGACCCATAGCTTCAGACAGAGCGAAGCCCAAGATGGCGTAAGAGAACAGCTGCTGCTTCAGAGAGGGGTTCCTGTGGAGAAAAAGAGGCAGCTGTCAGAAGTTGGAGGTAAAAAGTGTTATAAATACAACTGCCATTCATTCAGCAGACAGCCCAAGGACTTATGTGACCAAATAATTATATTATTAACCCCTTGACAATGTTGAAGAATGTTTTACACAGAAAGTGTTTTTTATGACAAATGAGACTTTCGCCTCTTGTTGGAGAAGTTTTAAAATGACAGATTATTTGATTTACCTGGCGTATCCGATAATAAGACTACCGAACACTGTTCCAATTCCAGCTCCAGATCCAGCTACGCCCACAGTGGCAGCTCCTGCTCCAATGAACTTTGCAGCAGTGTCGATGTCACGGCTCACAGCGCTGGTCTGGAACGCCCGCACTGCCATCTGCTGCTGGGAGGCTACGCTGCTCTGAGGGGCCAGGAGGGACGCAGTCTGATATGCAAAAATAAGTCAGGTTAGTACACAACAAAATAGTACAGGATCACAAATCAGCACTAAACATTGTATGCTTATATGTAAAAGACGTGTACTAAAACAGATCAGTTTTTATAAGATCTCCTAATTTCTACAGCCGAATTTTGACCCTGTCTTTAATGAACTATGGAATTGATTAAGGTTTTATATCAAATGAAAATGAACTAACTAATGAACTAATGACTAATGAACATTAGTACAGCTCTAGAGATGCAAGGGAAATGTTGCAAACATAATTGTAGCTACAGAGGCTAGCCAGCTTAAGTTTATTTTTGATGCAGGTGTCTTTACTGCTTTTGCTGATAACAACATTATCCAATGGTCGTACTCAATGGGAAACTAGGCTTGCTACATTAAGTTATAATCCTATCACCTTACCAGTCTGTTGTTGTACTTGTTGGGAGACATTAAATGATATCTGCATGAGATAGTTTTGTTGAGTAGCAATGTTTAACAATGTCATTATAAATTACAGACTTGTGTCTTAAGTGCCCTTCCTCTGTGAACACTCAAGGTCAATAAATCAGTTATAATGCACAGTACTGATAGCTGCTTACCTCTGCTTTCCTGGCATCTATGCCTAGCGCTGCAGAGAGTGGTCTGTACAGTGCCCGAGATCCAGCACGGACCTGTACCAAGAAACAAGAGACAGGCACATGTAGTTGAGAAAATCAAGCTCTGATAATATACTGCACAAAAATGTCATGCTGATACATTTCTGTATAATTATTGTGTTGTGCTAAGAATACATCTAAACTTCTGAGGTCAGAATTAAAAGCATGTGGGCTCATCCCAACAGAGACATTTGGCTAGTAAAAAATGTGGTTGTATGAGGAAGAAGTATTAAAATAATTACTTAAAATTATATATAATACAATATAATAGAACAGCATTACAATGAAAAGTCCTGCATTCAAATGTTAACTTAAGCACATGTGAACATTTGAACCACTCTGCACTCTCATAATGCAGAGTGGTTGTTGTTAGTGTTTTACGATCATGATTTTTGATGTATTAATTAATATGTAAGCAGTACTTTAAATGAAAAGGTGGAAATTATGTAACACCTTTCTTTTAGTACTTTAATCTGCAACAATGGTTGGTTGTATTGTAAACTGAAAATCAGAATTGGATAATACCATAACACATTATAAGTAAAAACCTAATAATAAAAAAAAAGGAAAAATAACTTGAAATGTAAATGTATTTTTTTCTAAATACTCAAGTTAAATAGTAGTACATCAACATTTACTTGTAAATTACCAAATTGCTTTCCACAACTAAATATGATCAATTATAAATGCAACCCTGCCTAGACAACAGTGATCCATTATATTGTGGCTTTGGATTCATTCTGCTCATACAGCTCAGATTTCACTTTAAATATGGCTGCTTCTCAATTAACTGCATCATATGTTTGAATGTAGATGATAGATGTAGATAGGAAGGGGATGCAATGGCTATGCTAAGGCTTCATTATGTTCAAAACAAGGACGTCCTTGCAGGTGTGAGCACTAGCTGACTTTAGCATGGGTCAAAGACGGCTACATGGCTGAGTGCTAGCGTTAGCGACTTGAATGCAGCTGGTTTGCTCTGGCATGAAGGCATGAACACAGATTTGCAGCTTTTGTTGCAATCTGTCATGAAATCACAATCCATTGAAACAGACTCACTCACCAGAGAGGGCGTGGAGACGAATTTAGCACAGGCATACATTATGATGAGCAGTGGTCAGGTCAAGCTAAGGAGCTGGCGTTGATTCAGGGTCAGAAGTCTGTAGAAAACAATACGCAAAACAAAGAAATGCATTGAATAACAACAATGAACAGTTTGACTTGGTTAACTGTGTAACTAGTTGTCTAAATGAGAAAGTACACAGTGTGCGAAGTTACGTGGACACATACAAGTAAGGTCAGGATTAGCTGCAAAACCGAACAATGTCGCTGAAAAACAAGCTAGTTGTTAAATCCTAGGAGCTAAGCATTGCTGTTGTTAATATAGCGAAAAGAAACACAGAGTTACAAAGAAGCGACACGATTAAATGTTAAACTCACA